AATAATAAATACCTAACAGCTATACATTAAACAAAAATCGAAAATAACTTAACTAATAAGACAAAACAAATATGTTGAAACTTACAATTAAACAACTAAGTAACCAAACAAACTTAAACTAAAACAAATATGTTAAAACTAGAAACTAACTAGCATAAGAAACAATAAAAATAAGAACAAACAAATATGTTTAACCTAAAAACTGAAATAAAAACAAACCATATCTAACTCATGCAAACTTACTTGTTAAAACCAAAAGCAAACGAAGCCAAAATAAAGCCAAGCTGAAGAACAGCACAAACTAATATGTAAACATAAAATTATGCCAAAATAAAACCAAAAATATTAAAACTAGAAACTAACTAGCCTAAGAAATTAAAATAAAATAGGGAAAACAAATATGTTAAATTTAAGAAATAAAAATAAAATAAAATAAACTATATCTGACTCATACAAACTTACCTGTTTAAACTTAAATAGCCAAAAACAAACGAAGCCAATTTTCAAACCAAGCCAAAATAAAAGAACAAAACAAACCAATACGTTAAAACTAACAACTTACCAAAAGCAAATTCATACAAATCTAACCATGAATAAACAAATGAAAACATAAAACAAAACGATCCTTTCAATTAAGAACTTTTGACCGAACAAAATCTCACCCCCATGAAAAACTACCCAAAATACAGGCCATGCTAAAATCAAATAAACAACCAATGTCGGCTGCTGTGCACTGGAATAGAGACTGAGAAGAGACCCTAAAGTGTATGTTTCAGGCTCACAGTCGTCTACCAGAGTATATATTGACGTCCTACCAGGCAACAAGAATAATTTCCTAAATCCCATTTTATATGCCTTACACAAAACAGGAGACCAAAGCACACCACATAGTGCCATCCAAACAGTTGGCCATACCAACACCATAAAAAACGGCACCATACAATCCTTATGCCCAAAGTAGTCCCATCTGACCAACAAAAACTGCTTAGCTTGGGTGCCTGGAGCACTGTCCTTATGGGCATGTGTAAACCAGGCGAGTGAGCAGAAATAATGACTAATATCTGCACCATCCTACACAATGTGCCAAAACAGTCTCATCTGACCAACAAAAACTGTTTAGCTTGGGTGCCTGGAGCACTGTCCTTATGGGCATGTGTAAACCAGGTGAGTGAGCAGTAACAAAACTAACCAATAACCCAATTTCACAACCGCACCCATATGCCCAAAACAGTCACACCTGGCCAACAATAACTGCTTAGCTTGGGTGCCTGGAGCACTGTCCTTCTGGGCATGTGTAAACCAGGTGAGTGAGCAGTAATCATAAGGACGCACAATAATCCACCAAATCAACGCTAGCCGGCAGCACTCTTATGCCAAACAGCCCCAAACATAGCCAGACAATAAACTGACTCAACTAACCTACTAACCGTCAACCAGACAACATTCCAGCTCAGCCATACTTGGACAACTAAAAACAACCATCCCTTTACACAACAAAAGCTCCAACCAGCTTAAACTCATTATAGCTAAACCAAGCTATCACATGCAAAACCAACATTTGCCCAATCCAAAGAACGTCCAATAGGCCGTGTGGTCCACTTGGTGGCGTCAAGCGGTAAACCGTCCAATCCCAGCCTCCAAAGGCCACGGATCCGGACCGCCATCACGTACTTAGCACCAAGCTAGTACCAAATAGAATTATAATTAAACCAAACCAAACATGGTACCAAAACAATAATCCAAAATCTGCATATACCATATATTTACATACATATGCAAAGCCAAACACCTAAAACAACCCTACCAGCAAGCTAGTCAAATTATACTATATTCAAACATTGAATATAGTTGATCCGCACCCAATGGCAATAAATTGTATATATGTATACAAACACAAAATGCCCCAAAATACATAAACAAGCCATTCAAACACCTGACAATACCTGCAACCAATCCCAACGCCTAATGCCCTAAATACTCTGATTAACATATCAAATCCAAAAACTAACTTATAAACCACCAGCCAAGCAACAAAAACACCATTAACCAACCCACCTGGCACAAAATACCCAACAATTGACAGCCAACTAAAAACACCAACAATCAACTACAGCCACTAACCTACTAACCGTCAATAAGACAACACTCCTGCTCAGCCATACTTGGACCGCTAAAAACCCCCATGCCACTGCATGGTCTCAAATCGGTCAAGCAAGAAGCGACGCCTTAACAATTTACTAACACACTATGCACCAACACAACAAGAGCCACATCACCAAGAGCCACTCACAAACACGTAAACATAAAAAGAAGCCATTTACAAACACGTAACTATAAAGAGAGCCATGGGTGAGCACAATATGATGAAACATAGTGATGAAACGCCCTGTGCGCAACATCATTATCTCTGACAGTTCTCACCCGGACGCTCTTGACCATAAGACTGCCTAATACCAGTCACAAACAGCCCAGCCAAGTTATACTGTGCCTAAATATCCTATATATGACCATTTAACAACAACCACACAGCCGACTCATATTGTGTACCGCCAATAATAACACTTTTCTCTTCCTTCCAAAAGATCCAGCATACCACAAGTGCGCATTCCAAAGCCAACTGGAATCCTCTCTCAAATAAGTATATAGCCAAGGACTGCCAGGTGAGTTGAAGCTGGGACTCTGTGCCTAAGCATTAAACTTCACATGTATGGTTCTTGGCTAACTCTTCTCATATATCTAGATTGTCCCATGGAGACCAATATTGCGTAGCCAAGATCACCAGCTAATTCCAAATGTAAATACATTTGCACGCTGCCGATCCAATTCATGTCTGTGTGCAAATTGTGCACACACTCATACAAGCTGCAATTGCCCCTGCTCCAGCGAATACCACCAGATGCCGGCCCAAAACTGGGACTGTGCTCAAGTGATACCGCTCCAAAGGACCTAGATATAAATTCATAAGTGCATATGTGCACAAATTAGTTAATTAAATCTGTTTATTCATACATTGTCCGCAGCTGGCCACTGCCACGCTAAACCAAATCGTCCAAATAATTGTACATACAATTATATACCCATTTCTGGGCAAATATCAGTGTCTGTCAGTATCCAAAATTGGAATAAATTCCAAAATCCATTATATTTCCACATATTCAGTTCAAATAGGCCCGTCTCAAAGTATCAATTTGTTCAAATTTCTCAATTCTGCTGTCAAGTCATACCAGATACCACAGCAAAGCCAAAATGAGACCAAGATCCGCCAGACGCTATCGAAAAGATAGCAAAGCGTTTCCCGGTGCACCCACCAGTGCCAACCTGCAGCCACCTGACCACCAACATCCTCCTAGCCACAAGCTAGAAAAAGAAAAAGAGCCATGGGTGAGCACAATATGATGAAACATAGTGATGAAACGCCCTGTGCGCAACATCATTATCTCTGACAGTTCTCACCCGGACGCTCTTGACCTCAAGACTGCCACATACCAGTCACAAACAGCCCAGCCAACTCATACTGTGCCTGAAAATGCCATATATGACCATTTAACAACAACCACACAGCCGACTCATATTGTGTACTGCCAATAATAACACTTTTCTCTTCCTCCAAAAGATCCAGCATACCACAAGTGCACATTCCAAAGCCAACTGGAATCTCTCTCTCAAATAAGTATATAGCCAAGGACTGCCAGGTGAGTTGAAGCTGGGACATTGTGCCTAAGCATTAAACTTACATGTATGGTTCTTGGCTAACTCTTCTCATATATCTAGATTGTCCCATGGAGACCAATATTGCGTAGCCAAGATCACCAGCTAATTCCAAATGTAAATACATTTGCACGCTGCCGATCCAAATTATGTCTGTGTGCAAATTGTGCACACACTCATACAAGCTGCAATTGCCCCTGCTCCAGCGAATACCACCAGATGCCGGCCCAAAACTGGGACTGTGCTCAAGTGATACCGCTCCAAAGGACCCAGATATAAATTCATAAGTGCATATGTGCACAAATTAGTTAATTAAATCTGTTTATTCATACACTGTCCGTAGCTGGCCACTGCCATGCTAAACCAAATTGTCCAAATAATTCTACATACAATTGTATACCCATTTCTGGGCAAATATCAGTGTCTGTCAGTATCCAAAATTGGAATAAATTCCAAAATCCATTATACTTCCACATATTCAGTTCAATAGGCCCGTCTCAAAGTATCAATTTGTTCAAATTTCTCTCGTGCAAGTCATACCAGATACCACAGCAAAGCCAAAATGAGACCAAGATCCGCCAGACGCCATCGAAAAGATAGCAAAGCGTTTCCCGGCGCACCCACCAGTGCCAACCTGCAGCCACCTGACCACCAACATCCTCCTAGCCACAAGCTAGAAAAAGAAAAAGAGCCATGGGTGAGCACAATATGATGAAACATAGTGATGAAACGCCCTGTGCGCAACATCATTATCTCTGACAGTTCTCACCCGGACGCTCTTGACCATAAGACTGCCACATGCCAGTCACAAACAGCCCAGCCGACTCATTGTGCCTGAAAATGCCATATATGACCATTAAACAACAACCACATAGCCAATTCATATTGTGTACTACCAATAATAACACTTTTCTCTTCCACCAAAAGATCCAGCATGCCACAAGTGCACATTCCAAAGCCAACTGGAATTCTTCTCTCAAATAAGTATATAGCCGGGGACTGCTCAGATTGTCCCATGGAGACCAATATTGCGAGCCAAGATCACCAGCCAATTCCAAATGTAAATACATTTGCACGCTGCCGATCCAATTATGTCTGTGTGCAAATTGTGCACACACTCATACAAGCAGCAATTGCCCCTGCTCCAGCGAATACCACCAGATACGTGCCTCAAGTGATACCGCTCCAAAGGACCCAGATATAAATTCATAAGTGCATACGTGCACAAATTAGTTAATTAAATCTGTTTATTCATACATTGTCCGCAGCTGGCCACTGCCACGCTAAACCAAATCGTCCAAATAATTCTACATACAATTGTATACCCATTTCTGGGCAAATATCAGTGTCTGTCAGTATCCAAAATTGGAATAAATTCCAAAATCCATTATATTTCCACATATTCAGTTCAAATAGGCCCGTCTCAAAGTATCAATTTGTTCAAATTTCTCAATTCTGCTGTCAAGTCATACCAGATACCACAGCAAAGCCAAAATGAGACCAAGATCCGCCAGACGCTATCGAAAAGATAGCAAAGCGTTTCCCGGTGCACCCACCAGTGCCAACCTGCAGCCACCTGACCACCAACATCCTCCTAGCCACAAGCTAGAAAAAGAAAAAGAGCCATGGGTGAGCACAATATGATGAAACATAGTGATGAAACGCCCTGTGCGCAACATCATTATCTCTGACAGTTCTCACCCGGACGCTCTTGACCATAAGACTGCCTCATACCAGTCACAAACAGCCCAGCCAAGTTATATTGTGCCTAAAATCCTATATATGACCATTAAACAACAACCACACAGCCAACTCATATTGTGTACTGCCAATAATAACACTTTTCTCTTCCTTCCAAAAGATCCAGCATACCACAAGTGCACATTCCAAAGCCAACTGGAATCCTCTCTCAAATAAGTATATAGCCAGGGACTGCCAGGTGAGTTGAAGCTGGGACATTGTGCCTAAGCATTAAACTTACATGTATGGTTCTTGGCTAACTCTTCTCATATATCTAGATTGTCCCATGGAGACCAATATTGCGTAGCCAAGATCACCAGCTAATTCCAAATGTCAATACATTTGCACGCTGCCGATCCAATTTATGTCTGTGTGCAAATTGTGCACACACTCATACAAGCTGCAATTGCCCCTGCTCCAGCGGATACCACCAGATGCCGGCCCAAAACTGGGACTGTGCTCAAGTGTTACCGCTCCAAAGGACCCAGATATAAATTCATAAGTGCATATGTGCACAAATTAGTTAATTAAATCTGTTTATTCATACATTGTCCGCAGCTGGCCACTGCCATGCTAAACCAAATTGTCCAAATAAATCTACATACAATTGTATACCCATTTCTGGGCAAATACCAGTGTCTGTCAGTATCCAAAATTGGAATAAATTCCAAAATCCATTATATTTCCACATGTTCAGTTTTAATAGGCCCGTCTCAAAGTATCAATTTGTTCAAATTTCTCAATTCTGCTGTCAAGTCATACCAGATACCACAGCAAAGCCAAAATGAGACCAAGATCCGCCAGACGCTATCGAAAAGATAGCAAAGCGTTTCCCGGTGCACCCACCAGTGCCAACCTGCAGCCACCTGACCACCAACATCCTCCTAGCCACAAGCTAGAAAAATAAAAAGAGCCATGGGTACCACATAGCACAATATGATGAAACATAGTGATGAAACGCCCTGTGCGCAACATCATTATCTCTGACAGTTCTCACCCGGACGCTCTTGACCATAAGACTGCCAATACCAGTCACAAACAGCCCAGCCGACTCATTGTGCCTGAAAATGCCATATATGACCATTTAACACAACCACAGCCACTCATATTGTGTACTGCCAATAATAACACTTTTCTCTTCCCCAAAAGATCCAGCATACCACAAGTGCACATTCCAAAGCCAACTGGAATCCTCTCTCAAATAAGTATATAGCCAAGGACTGCCAGGTGAGTTGAAGCTGGGACTCTGTGCCTAAGCATTAAACTTACATGTATGTTTCTTGGCTAACTCTTCTCATATATCTAGATTGTCCCATGGAGACCAATATTGCGAGCCAAGATCACCAGCCAATTCCAAATGTAAATACATTTGCACGCTGCCGATCCAATTTATGTCTGTGTGCAAATTGTGCACACACTCATACAAGCTGCAATTGCCCCTGCTCCAGCGAATACCACCAGATGCCGGCCCAAAACTGGGACTGTGCTCAAGTGATACCGCTCCAAAGGACCCAGATATAAATTCATAAGTGCATACGTGCACAAATTAGTTAATTAAATCTGTTTATTCATACATTGTCCGAGCTGGCCACTGCCATGCACTGCCAGCTAAACCAAATGTCCAAATAATTGTACATACAATTGTATACCCATTTCTGGGCAAATGTCAGTGTCTGTCAGTATCCAAAATTGGAATAAATTCCAAAATTCATTATATTTCCACATATTCAGTTCAAATAGGCCCGTCTCAAAGTATCAATTTGTTCAAATTTCTCAATTCTGCTGTCAAGTCATACCAGATACCACAGCAAAGCCAAAATGAGACCAAGATCCGCCAGACGCTATCGAAAAGATAGCAAAGCGTTTCCCGGTGCACCCACCAGTGCCAACCTGCAGCCACCTGACCACCAACATCCTCCTAGCCACAAGCTAGAAAAAGAAAAAGAGCCATGGGTGAGCACAATATGATGAAACATAGTGATGAAACGCCCTGTGCGCAACATCATTATCTCTGACAGTTCTCACCCGGACGCTCTTGACCTCAAGACTGCCACATACCAGTCACAAACAGCCCAGCCGACTCATTGTGCCTGAAAATGCCATATATGACCATTTAACAACAACCACACAGCCAACTCATATTGTGTACTGCCAATAATAACACTTTTCTCTTCCTTCCAAAAGATCCAGCATACCACAAGTGCACATTCCAAAGCCAACTGGAATCTCTCTCTCAAATAAGTATATAGCCAGGACTGCCAGGTGAGTTGAAGCTGGGACATTGTGCCTAAGCATTAAACTTACATGTATGGTTCTTGGCTAACTCTTCTCATATATCTAGATTGTCCCATGGAGACCAATATTGCGTAGCCAAGATCACCAGCCAATTCCAAATGTCAATACATTTGCACGCTGCCGATCCAATTTATGTCTGTGTGCAAATTGTGCACACACTCATACAAGCTGCAATTGCCCCTGCTCCAGCGGATACCACCAGATGCCGGCCCAAAACTGGGACTGTGCTCAAGTGTTACCGCTCCAAAGGACCCAGATATAAATTCATAAGTGCATATGTGCACAAATTAGTTAATTAAATCTGTTTATTCATACACTGTCCGCAGCTGGCCACTGCCACGCTAAACCAAATTGTCCAAATAATTCGTACATACAATTATATACCCACTGTTCATGCGCGTCAAAGTACCATCAGATCCGCCAGTATCCAAAATAATAAATTCCAAAATGCTCAGTATACCACAACATCTAATAGGCCCGTCTCAAAGATCAATTGTTCAAATTGCATCAATTCTGCTGTCAAATCATACCAGTACCACAGCAAAGCCAAAATGAGACCAAATTCCAACGCTATCGAATAGATAGCACACTTTCTCGGTGCACCCACCAGTGCCAACCTGCAGCCACCTGCCACCAACATCCTCCTAGCCAAATAGTACATAGCCAAAGATGCCATGAGTGAACTGCACACATATGATGAAACATAGTATGAATGCCCTGTGCGCAACATCATTATCATCTGATCAGATTCTCCCAGGACGCTCTTGACCTCAAGACTGCCAATACCAGTAAAACAGCCCAGCCGATCATATGTGCCTAAATGTCCATATATGACCATTGAGCTACGAACCACACAGCCAACTCATATTGTGTACCGCCAATAATAACACTTGTCTCTTCCTCCAAAAGATCCAGCATGCCACAAGTGCCATTCCAAAGCCAACTGGAACCACTCTCTCAAATAAGTATATAGCCAAGGACTGCCAAGGATGACCAGATCACATGTGCCACATGCCATGGAGACCAATATTGCGAGCCAAGATCACCAGCCAATTCCAAATGTAAATACATTTGCACGCTGCCGATCCAATTATGTCTGTGTGCAAATTGTGCACACACTCATACAAGCTGCAATTGCCCCTGCTCCAGCGAATACCACCAGATGCCGGCCCAAAATGGACTGTGCTCAAGTGATACCGCTCCAAAGGACCCAGATATAAATTCATAAGTGCATACGTGCACAAATTAGTTAATTAAATCTGTTTATTCATACATTGTCCGCAGCTGGCCACTGCCACGCTAAACCAAATCGTCCAAATAATTGTACATACAATTATATACCCATTTCTGGGCAAATATCAGTGTCTGTCAGTATCCAAAATTGGAATAAATTCCAAAATCCATTATACTTCCACATGTTCAGTTTTAATAGGCCCGTCTCAAAGTATCAATTTGTTCAAATTTCTCAATTCTGCTGTCAAGTCATACCAGATACCACAGCAAAGCCAAAATGAGACCAAGATCCGCCAGACGCTATCGAAAAGATAGCAAAGCGTTTCCCGGCGCACCCACCATGCCAACCTGGCCATGAGCGTGAGCACAATATGATGAAACATAGTGATGAAACGCCCTGTGCGCAACATCATTATCTCTGACAGTTCTCACCCGGACGCTCTTGACCTCAAGACTGCCACATGCCAGTCACAAACAGCCCAGCCGACTCATTGTGCCTGAAAATGCCATATATGACCATTAACAACAACCACACAGCCGACTCATATTGTGTACTGCCAATAATAACACTTTTCTCTTCCACCAAAAGATCCAGCATGCCACAAGTGCACATTCCAAAGCCAACTGGAATCCTCTCTCAAATAAGTATATAGCCAAGGACTGCCAGGTGAGTTGAAGCTGGGACATTGTGCCTAAGCATTAAACTTACATGTATGGTTCTTGGCTAACTCTTCTCATATATCTAGATTGTCCATGGAGACCAATATTGCGTAGCCAAGATCACCAGCTAATTCCAAATGTAAATACATTTGCACGTTGCCGATCCAATTATGTCTGTGTGCAAATTGTGCACACACTCATACAAGCTGCAATTGCCCCTGCTCCAGCGAATACCACCAGATGCCGGCCCAAAACTGGGACTGTGCTCAAGTGATACCGCCCCAAAGGACCCAGTATCATAAGTGCATGTGCACTAGTTAATTAAATCGTTTATTCAACATGTCCGTAGCTGGCCACTGCCACGCTAAACCAAATTGTCCAAATAATTCTACATACAATTGTATACCCATTTCTGGGCAAATATCAGTGTCTGTCAGTATCCAAAATTGGAATAAATTCCAAAATCCATTATATTTCCACATGTTCAGTTCTAATAGGCCCGTCTCAAAGTATCAATTTGTTCAAATTTCTCAATTCTGTTGTCAAGTCATACCAGATACCACAGCAAAGCCAAAATGAGACCAAGATCCGCCAGACGCCATCGAAAAGATAGCAAAGCGTTTCCCGGCGCACCCACCAGTGCCAACCTGCAGCCACCTGACCACCAACATCCTCCTAGCCACAAGCTAGAAAAAGAAAAAGAGCCATGGGTGAGCACAATATGATGAAACATAGTGATGAAACGCCCTGTGCGCAACATCATTATCTCTGACAGTTCTCACCCGGACGCTCTTGACCATAAGACTGCCACATACCAGTCACAAACAGCCCAGCCGACTCATTGTGCCTGAAAATGCCATATATGACCATTAAACAACAACCACACAGCCGACTCATATTGTGTACTGCCAATAATAACACTTTTCTCTTCCTCCAAAAGATCCAGCATACCACAAGTGCACATTCCAAAGCCAACTGGAATCCTCTCTCAAATAAGTATATAGCCAGGGACTGCCAGGTGAGTTGAAGCTGGGACATCTGTGCCTAAGCATTAAACTTACATGTATGGTTCTTGGCTAACTCTTCTCATATATCTAGATTGTCCCATGGAGACCAATATTGCGAGCCAAGATCACCAGCCAATTCCAAATGTAAATACATTTGCACGCTGCCGATCCAATTTATGTCTGTGTGCAAATTGTGCACACACTCATACAAGCTGCAATTGCCCCTGCTCCAGCGAATACCACCAGATGCCGGCCCAAAACTGGGACTGTGCTCAAGTGATACCGCTCCAAAGGACCCAGATATAAATTCATAAGTGCATATGTGCACAAATTAGTTAATTAAATCTGTTTATTCATACATTGTCCGCAGCTGGCCACTGCCACGCTAAACCAAATTGTCCAAATAATTCTACATACAATTGTATACCCATTTCTGGGCAAATATCAGTGTCTGTCAGTATCCAAAATTGGAATAAATTCCAAAATTCATTATATTTCCACATATTCAGTTCAAATAGGCCCGTCTCAAAGTATCAATTTGTTCAAATTTCTCAATTCTGCTGTCAAGTCATACCAGATACCACAGCAAAGCCAAAATGAGACCAAGATCCGCCAGACGCCATCGAAAAGATAGCAAAGCGTTTCCCGGCGCACCCACCAGTGCCAACCTGCAGCCACCTGACCACCAACATCCTCCTAGCCACAAGCTAGAAAAAGAAAAAGAGCCATGGTACCACATAGCCAATTCAAATTGTGCCTGAAAATGACATATATGCCCATTAAACAACAACCACACAGCCGATTTATATTATACCTGAAAATGCCATAAAGTCGATTCATATCATGCCAAAATATATTATATATTTCCAAAACAAATAACAATCATACAGCTAACTTATTTTGTGCCAATTCGCATCATTCCAATATCCAAGCAGCCAAAAAAACGCGCATCAATGCGATATTTTGCCCGGGTGATCGACCAGCAATCGATACATCGACATGCTCACTAACACTCGTACGATCCCTAGGCGATACTCTCAGGCTCAAAGCCAAAAGCCACGATAGTCTGCGCAAGTGAAGAAGTGAAAATCGGAAAAAAAAATCAAAATCAAAAAAACTATTAAAACTTATTAAAAGTGAATAAAAAGTGAAAACTACAAACTATTAACGCAAGATCGCTGATATTTTGCCTAAAACTAAACAACTAAAAAAGCACTGTGGAATCACCAATTCTAAACCAACTCCATTTCATCAAACTGTAAGTCTCGGAAACATATCAATATATATATATTCAAACTGTCCATATAACCCTGAATAAGTGCGCGCAATTTCATTTTCACCACGGTTGAAATAGTCTGCCTCTGTCTGTGTCCCTAATTATGAAATAGCCAACACAAAAGTATTTATGGCCAAACATCCCATTAAAATAAAGTAAAAGCCAAAAAATCCCATATAAATGGAAACTTGCGACAATTGGGGTAGGTCTGGAACCATAGTTTTCGTAAAACTCCAAAATTGTCCATATAAGTCCCATAATTCCGGTGCCATAGCATGCGATTGTGTCGGTATACAGTCGCGAAAATACAGACGCCACAATAATGGCGACAATATTACTGGCGTCAAAGCCAAACCGACGCGCATATACATACGCATGCAAATATAGGCAAAATTTTCCATAATGCTCGGCATTGCCAGGCTGAAACATATTTCTATTAGGTATAAGCAAATATGCTAACGGCTGGCCATTGCCAGACTGATACACATTTCTACCCAAATAAAAACTAAAAACAAAATTAACAACTACTTACACACAAATTAATTTATTAATACTATAAATCATTGTGAGTCTATTATATATACGCCCGTCAATAAGTAAAAAATTTTAGGTCCGTATCAAAATACGAAATGTAATCCCAACCAATATTTCCACATATACATATCTACAATATTAATCCAATATTAGTTTAGTCAACTCACTGCTGGCCATTGCCAAACACAGTATAAATAAATTCATCCCTAAAAGTATTCAACGCTAACTTCCAAACTTCATAGACAAGGCACACCAGAATTAAAACAACTCAGCCAACCCTACAAAACTTACTACTCACTCACCTGATTAAAACTAAAAACTTATCTGTCAAAAGCCTATTAACAACAATATATTCACCTGTAAAAAGAAAAAGCACTTACCTGCAAATAATAAAAACTTACCCGTTAAAAGCCTAGTTGGAAAAAATCCGAAACTACCAACCCACTCACCTGTAAACAAAAATAAACTTACCTGTATAAAACCTAATAACAATATTCAATAAATTCCACCTGTAAAAAAACAAGAATTAAACTCACCTGTTAAAACATAAGAAAACTACTGAACAAAAACAAACCAATTACTTACCTGTAAAATAAAAACTTACCCGTTACTAAAGCCATATTATCTCTACTCCAATCAACAGCTCGACCAATATGAGCGGAACACACAACGAAGACAGCACCACAATACCATACATTGTCGTCCCAAAGGTCCAGAACGTGGGGAAGTTAGTCAGAATGGCTGAAATTGAAGTGGGAGAAGATGGCTTCTACACTCTAGCCATCAGATATGATGAAATTAGATTTGTTTGTAGCAATATGGAAAAGCACAGAGCCCTTTTAAAACTCTGTAGCTGCCTATATAATGACACCTACACCGAAAACAGCCTGCTTGGACCCAAATCGTACAAAGTCATCATCAGAGGACTCCATCCTTCCACACCCATAGACTGGATAACGCTCAAATTAGCCCACCTCGGGCACACAGTGCGCACTGCAAGTAACATAAGAACCTACACAAATCAACACCCAACATCCACCTTTATCGTCGACCTGGAAATAAAAGAAAACAACGAAGAAATATTAAACGTTAATCAAATCGGTATCTTTCTGGTCAGCATTACTAAAGTCAACCCCAATCAAGTATACGTCACCATGCACCAATGCCAAAATTGCCAAGGAATTGACTACAAAACGGAAGACTGCAAGAAGCACGAGTACACCTGCAACAAGTGCACCGTAAGTCAACAAACAAAACCAAAACATAAAGAAGATAAATGCGATAACTGTGGAGGTGACCACAGCACCTTATGGATAGGATGCTATATATACCAAGAGGCACTACAAAAACTACGAGAAGACCAAGCAACACAAAATAGACAAGACACTCACTTACCCAAGGCATCGCCACCACTGTCACCATCAACATCAACAACAACAACACTACCACCTAAAGAACTATAATCGCCAAGAATTAAGCACACCATACCCAGATCAGATGAGATCAATATAAATAAAACCGAATTCTAGAATAGTACTTTCATAACAATAACTGCCTAACAGAAACACCAAAATAAATACCAAACAATAAAGCAAACCAAAACCTCTAAACTAAACAAACAAACACGTTTAAAAAAACTAAAATAAGAACAAACAAATATGTTAAAACCTATTACTAACCAGTAAAATAAATAAAAATACAACCAAAATGCTCGTTTTAATAAAACCACCTCTAGCCACCCACCAAACTCGCCCCTCCATATAAACCAGAAACCACAATAAACAAGCAAAAGAGCCACAAGCATCTACCAAAATGATGCCCATCACCACAATAAACGTAACCAATATAAACTATAGAATTAACCAACTAACCCTAGCCTACCTGCCAATACAATACTATACTTACCCTAAATAGCAAAACCAACTTACCAGATTATCTCTCCTTCTCTCCATTCCAAAAAATACAGCTTCCATCAATATGAACAAACAAATCAAGCGAAAATCACTGCCTACCAAAACTAAGGCCCCGGAAATAACCCCCTCAAACTCGCCACCAGAAAAGGCCGCCATAATGACTAACACCCAAATCCACCCACCAATCATTAATCAGGCTAAAAAGGTACTGGATGACATCGAACAACAAGCTAACATCTACAAATCTCTAACCTCAACACCAGTCACAAGAACTGCAGCCACACTCGGCATTGACAAACCAAACACCAAAACATTTGAACCAATAAATATAAATGTTGCCGACAGCACAAGCTCCAATTCAATAACTGACGAGGACATAGACATATCAGTAATATCTGACGATAGCAAAAACGACAATGACAACGATAACACAAACCCAAGCAAACAAAAATCATATCGCATATTTGTACCCAAAACAAATGACGCCAACAACTTAATCCAAAAAGTAATCGACACCATAGGCACTGGATCCTTTACGACCAACGCCACAGCGGGAAATGGCATAATCCTTGAATGTCAAGAAATTGAAACACAAAATGCACTAATCAAACTTTTCAATGAACTAAAATGCAATGCTCGCATTCAAAACAAAGAATCCAAACATAGAATCATTGTCAAAGGACTCCACTCATCCACACCCAAAGACTGGATTATCGAACAATTCGCTGCACTTGGATACACTGTCCACCATGTGATCAACATAATTGGAAATATCACCAAAACACCAACAAATTCATTTAAAGTTGACTTACTAATAAACCACAACAACAGCAAAGATATCCAAAAAATCAATACACTAGGAACATACAAGATCCAAATAGAACAGCCAGCCCGTTCTATAATAATACAACAATGTCGCAATTGTCAACGCTTTGGCCACCTCCAAGACGACTGTAAATCCAATACTCCAATATGCTTCAAATGCGCTGGACCACATCGATCCAGTGACTGCATCAAAACAAGGGACACTGACGGCAAATGTGCAAACTGCGGAAGCAATCACGTTGCCACCTACAAAGGTTGCCCAATCTACAAGGAAGAACTCAAAAAGCAGCCAAACAAAAGCTTTACAAAACGAGCAATTCAAGCGCTCGAATCCCTCAACTGGGACAAAGAACCAATGTTCAGGAACGCCATGGTCAACACTAATCAAAACCATCAAAGCATGTCACACACTCAGTATACCCCATCGATGGGACTCACCAGAGACAACCTAAACCAACGAGGCCAAATGCATCAATATGGAGCCCCCCGTCCATCATCCCAATCAAACTACGAAACACCCATTGCACAAAACTACAGCCCCCACAACCCAATGAATGCTGGCAATCAAGCGTATGCTCCACAAAACAACAACCTTGAAAGCATGGCAGAACAAATGCGCGCTTTCTTGCGAGCCTGGAATCAGAACCAAAATCAACAATAAAATATAGCATATCCAACTCAAAAAGAATATAAATGAATACATTCTGAAAAAACGAACAAACTTTAATTTTAATCAACACATTAATACTCAAACAATTACCAAAATAAATAATATATTGCGGAAGGAATACAAGCGAACATACCCAACCCCAAATGAATGGGACTAATTAAAACATAACACCTACATTAAACATTAAGGGCAATGAAGCCAACTACAACATTATTATTATTATTACTATCTTCCCTATTACTCCAAAATGTATTACTTACCGTATACACATGAAATAAATTACTGCCATGAAGGCTCAAAAATAAACCTGAATACCATATATATATATACCAATCATACACTCACCATACAACCTCTATATATCTAGAATAAAATTAGCATACACTTACCATATACTTATTAAAATACTTACCACATAATTAACCTAAACTCACTAAACACTCACTACATAACAATCTAATATATACATACATTACACTTACCAAATATTCACCGTATGCCTACCATATACGCAACAAATACGCACTATATACTTACCTGATATCTACAATATACTTACCTAATACTTGCCATGCAGTCACCAAACACTCAATATATACTTACCTGATATCTACAATATACTTACCGTACATAAGTCATATACTCACCAAATCTTCACTATATACTCTCCTGTTAACAACAATAAACTTACCTAAAACACACAATATACTTACCAAATACCCACTATATACTTACCAAATACCCACTATATACTTACCCAATATCAACCATATACTCAGTAAACACTAACCAAAATGAAACTACCATTAATCTGAACAATCTCTATCAATTCTTACTTAACCCA